TCATTCACGTGTGGTCTTGCCTTAGTCTCTTCATTCAGAGACATAAGGTTCAATACATGTCATATACTTGTTCGATGGCCTGCACAATGTTTAGTACCTTGCTAAGAAATTCAGTTCAATTCAATAAGCATTCATAATGTACTAGGTACTAGGGATACAAAAATTAAATCCAAACAGTCCCTGCCCTCAAGAGCTTACATTCCCTTGTGGGGAAATAATGTGCAGCATATATAACAATGAAATATATGCAAAGTAATTTAGGGAAGGCGAGGGGGGGGGACCCTAACAACTGGGGAGGAGGAGGACCAGGAAAGGAGGCACTGACACTTAAGTCGGACTCTGGCAGAAGCTAGGAATGCCATGAGGCAGAGATGAGGTGTGAGAGCATTTCAGGCTGTCCCAGCACCTCTCTAAAGGCAGCCCATGGAACATTGCCGACAGGGAACTGGAATTGGGCCAATTTGGTGGGTACAAAGAGTCCATGAGGGGGAGTGCTGTGAAATCTGTCTGGGAAGATCAGTTCGATTCAGACTGTGATGAACTTTAAATCTAAAGGCGTTTGAGTCTCCCTGGGTGTCTCACAGCCGTCTCAAGAAGTGTTAGGCCATACCCTACAGGAAAATAGGAGGGGAAGGGGATAAGAGAAGGGGAGAGAGATAGAAGAGAGGACAGACTAGGGGAAGGGATATTCAGAACGCACGCCATCTTGGGGTGGGGGGAGGGGGAGATGGGGTGAAAATCTGGAACTCAAAAACTTGTGGAAGTGAATGTTGAAAACTAAAAATAAAACAAATTAATATATATATATATAGAAGTGTCAGGCCATTCTTGCTAGCTAAGGTAGACTTTAATTGTTGATTAAAAGGGCAATCTTTTATGTTCCTAAGCATCTACTCAGGTGCCATGTCCAAAGAAATCATCACCTATTGGTCAAATGGGCCAATAAATTCTACTTCTGCAGTATTTCTCATGCCTATTTCCAACTCTACACACCCCCTCCCCCCCATTCCCATTTCCACCCAAAATACAAAGTCTTATTACCAGACACCTGGACTATGGCAACAGCTTCCATCAGTTAATCAATCAAGAAGCCTTTCTTGAGCTTGCACTATGCGAGATACAAAGAGGAAAGCAAAGCAGTCCCTGCCTTCAAGGAGCTTACAATCTAACCTCCTCGTGGGTCTTCCCTCCCCCTATTGTCACACCACTGCTGGCCTAACACTCCTTACGTATTAATTTGGCCACGGTCATCCCTTGGCTCAAAAAACTCTTCAGGACCTCCCCCCAGCCCCAGTGCTCACTGAGTAAATACATGCAATTTGTTTATAGAATAAGGTTTACAAAGCACTTTCCTTGTGAAGTAGGAATGCAAATACACAAAAGATTTGTGATTCAGCCATCCCTAGTTACTTCCGAGGAGGACATTCCCTTTGCTGACACAGATTACAACCCGTCAATGGCTTAGTACCATATCCTAGGGAGTTGCTGGAGGCAAAGGAAAATGAAATGACTTACCTAGGATCACACATCTAGTAGGTGCCAGAGTCAGGAATTAAAACCAAGTTATCCCCTTAGCAAGATATCCCCTGTGCCACCCTATGAGTTGCTATGATAGTTGACATTTTTATAGAACTTTAAGGTTTGCAAAGTAATTTACAAATATTATCTCATTTGATCCTCCCAATAACTGGGGGTGGTAAGTGCTGTTCTTATCCCCACTTTGCAAAGGGGGAAACTGAGGTCAAGAAGGTTAAATTATATGACTGGGAAGTCACAGCTGAGGAAATGTCTGATGTTGGATTTGAACTCAGATTTTCCTGCCTCCGGGCCCAACATTCTGTCCATGATGCCATAAGTGAATAATAACAGTAGCACTGGCATTTCTAGGGCACCATAAGATTTTCAAGGTACTTTAGGTATAGGATTCTCATTTGATGGAGACCACAGGTGCTATCATCTGAATTTTACAAATGAGGAAAATGAGCTTAGAGAGATTAAGTTGACTTGTCAGGGTAGGAACTTGAACCCGGGTCTCTTGACTCTAAGTTCAATGCCATTTCCAGGCTACCATGGTGCCTTAAAAAACACCTTAGTCTGGCATTTGAGGCCTCCACAGCTTAGCACACACCCCCTTGCACTTCCCATTTCCTAACCTGTTCCCTGACCGCTATCCCCATTGAACTCTTTCCTGTTCCCCACAGCTACCCCCAGCTCTACTGACCAGGGCAGAATCTCATCCCTTGGCTTGAGGTCGAGGACAAGCTGAACTCTCTCCATAGAGGACTTATCCTTCTACAATCTGATAGATTTCCTGGAGACCCCACAGGAGATGGTGCTCACCAGGCACCTATTCCAACAGGTACCTTTGAGTCTCAGGCCTTCTTCAGGCAGGGACCAGGAAGTTACTATACTTTTCTCTTTGCCCAGCAGAGGGAGGCCACCTCCCACAAATGATCCTGACTCAAGCTTTACTTTTTCTATTTGGAGGATCTGGGAGTTACTTTTTAGCTGGAGGGAAGATGGACCTGGGCACCTTGAAGAACCCTGATTTATGGACCTTTCCTATGGTGGAAGGTGCTGAGGGAGCTCCAGGACCTGACTCCTCTAAACATCTTCCTCCACTCCCCCACCGGCTCAAGGATGGAAATCATGGTGAATTTAAGAGGAGGAGCACTGTTGAATCCTACGCACTACCTGTGTGGCCCTGGGTAAGTCATTCCCTCTTCGGGCCTTACTGTAAAATGAGTAAATTGGACTAGGTGCCCTCTAAGATGTCTATGATTCCAGAGAACCTCCCCAAGCCCTATCTCTACCCCTGTTCCTAGACAGTCTCTAATCTAGTCTAATCTAATCTAATCTAGTCTCTAATCTCCAATGAGAGGAAGCATGGCTTAATGGGGAGGTGGAGAGAGCTGGACCCAGACCCAGAAGATCTGGGTTTGAATCCTGGTTCTGATATTTATTAGCTGTATAACCATGGACAAGTTGTTAATTGCTCTGTGCCTCAGTTTCCTCATCCATTAAATGGGGGCAAAGTGCCACGTGAACCTTATCCTAATAAAACAGGCCAGTTATTGTTGCTATCTACCAGCCTAGGAAAAAAATGAATTGGCCTGGAAGGAAACCTGGAAAAATGGAATCCATTCAGTCCCAACCCCGAATTTGAAGGGACCATATTCACACCACCCCTGCCTCGCACAATTTCTTTCTTTAAATTTCTTTATTCCATTTCTTATTTCTATTCTATTCATTCTTTACTTTTCCCCCCAGAGAAACTTGAAGAGACTTGGGTTCTGGTAGGGGCTCTGTTAATTTCCTGTGTGACCTTAGGCAGGTCAATTTGACTTTTCTTGGCTCATTCTGCCTCAAAGAGCTTTCAGAAAGATTTGAGGAGAGAGAATAGATAAGAAAATAAGAAGATAAAAAAATAATAAATAAGAAGAATATACAGTCATTCAACATCAGAGCTGGAAGGGTTCTTAGAAGCTCCCTCGGCGAATTCCGTTCCCTCACTTTATCAATGGGGAAAATGAGGCCCAGACACATTCCTCCCCACCCCAGTCTAGAACTTGGATTCCATTTGAATGTTGTTTGAAGACCTGAAAACACCTAGCATGGTGGCGTGCACACAGTTGGTATTCAGTAAACATTTATGAGTCATGGATTCAAGTACAGTGTGTAAAATACAGATTATTCCATGGGCAAGGAGCCTCACTGGTGAAGCTAGGAAAGCAGTATGGGGTGATGGAGGGGTGTAGAGCGAGGGGCCAACCATAGGCCTGGGGCACCTTTAAGGTAAGACAGATGGCATCTTGTGAGCACACATATGGAGGCATTCACAAGCAGGAACACACGTGCTTTCACACCCAAAGCTCTCTGGGATCTAGGGGGAAGTGGGAGAGCTGTTAACCCCCTCCAGGCAGAAGCCCTGTCTCTCACTGTCTCTGGTGGTGTGCTAGGAAAAATACAATAAGCCATTGTTTCCACCTATAGAGGAATGAAGCATTGCTGCAGCTTTTAGAGACAGGGAAACTGAGGCAGGGAGGGGATGCTGTCACCCATTGGACAACAGAAGCCAGAGCTGACCTTTAGGTTCTACAAGGGCTTCTAGTCATCCAGCCAGGTGGTCAGTCAGTGAGGCAACAAGCATTAGTAAGTGTTGACTACGGGGAAGAAAAAGTGCTCCGGATTTCCTTCTCCACCTCTTTTCCCAGTGAATTTTCCTCTCCATCAAGCACCAGGTCCTCTTTCTGAGAGAAGGAGCACATGTGAAAGTCTGGAGGGAACCTCAGAGACCACCTAAGTCCAATACCTTCATTTTGGAGGCTAAAGGGAGAGGAAGTGATTTGCCTGAGGTCACACAGGCTGTTATCAGAGGTGGGATTTGAACCCATGTCTTATGACTACTGCGAATTGTATGTATGTCTGATGGCCAGTTGTTGACTGACTCTGTGTGTGTGTGTGTGTGTGTGTGTGTGTGTGTGTGTGTGTGTGTGTGTGTGTGACCTGGGATTTCATCTGTGTAAGGGAACTGACCCTTAATAAACTGAGGCCAATAGAGGCTGAGTAACTTGTCCAAGGTCACCTAAGTCATAAGTGGAAGAGGTAGATTTTGAACTTAGCTTTTCTGGTTAAAGAGATATTTCTGAGCACACTATGCTGTCTTGATATGCCTGCCTAACTGAAGGACCGTTCAGCTCAGTTTGCTAGCTGGTCCTCTCTGGCCTTCACACAGAGCTTCTGTTTTGCTTTCTCTTTCTTCTCCATGTCACCTTTCAGAGGAAATGTTCTCCTTGCCAACATATGCCTCCGTTCCCCCCCTGTACCCACTCATGCACTTGAGGGATCTCAAAACACCTGTAAACCATCAGGGGCACTGGTTGATCAGCACAGGAAGCATCTGCCTCTGGGGGAGACTTAGGGAATGGAGCCCTCAGTGGTGCCAAGGAGAGGGCCCAGAAGTTCTGTCTGCCCACTGCATAGACCTCAGAGCTACTCACCTCATACAGATGGTCTTGGGTGTCTGAGGATTCCAAATAATAAAGACTGCAGAGAATGAGAAGGTGGCCAGTCACAAGAGGGAAGTGGAGGCCCAGACCACTCCGGGGTGGAAGGAGATGCTCCCCAAAGGGGGCTCCTCTCCCACTCTATTCCCATGAACAGCTCCTCAGTCTAGAAATGATTGTCTCCTTGCTGCCTTCCCAGAGTTCACCACACCTGTATCTCCGAATCCCCTCCTTCGGTCCCCAAGTCTGGGCCTCCTCACTGCCATGGAAGCCCTGACTCCTTGGGTTTCTCCTGTGGTCCTCAGATTCTCAAAACAAGCTTGGACTTTGAAAGTCAGAGCTGTCCTCTGGCTGATTTATCTCCATCCAGTTGGGCCCATTTGCTTCCATCAGTTTTTCCCCTTATCCACTCCCCAGTCTTCTTTTCCCCCAAGTGTCTCACTGGCATAGACATGATAATTTCCCATATCTTTTTTTTCCTGACCTTTTAACTTCACAGCCTTAGACCCATCTCCCCCAGGAAGTCTTCCTTGATACACACCAACCAATCACTAACCCTTCAGCTCAGTATTTTCCCTCAGCATAATCACAATGTAGGCTCTCTCTCTCCTCTCTCTCTCTCTCTCTCTCTCTCTCCCTCTCTCCATCTCTCCCCCTCACCATCTCTCTCTGTCTCTATCCCTCCCCCCTCTCCTTCTGTCTCTCCCTCCTCTCTTTTCTTCTCCCTCTGTCTCCCCCTCTCTCCCTCTCCCTCTCCCTCTCCACCTCTGTCTCTGTCCCTCCTTCCCTCTCTCTCCTTCTACTCCCTCTTTCCTCCTCTTTCACCCATCTACCTCCCTCTCTCCTTCTCCTCCTCTATTTCCCTCCTTTCTCCCTATCTCTCTTTCTCTCTCCCTCTCCATCTCTCTCTGTCTCTGTTTCTCCATCTCTATCTCTCCATCTCTCTCCTCTCTCCTTCCACCCTCCCTCTCTCTCTATCTCCCCCTTTCCCCCCTCTACCTCCCTCTCTCCCTCTCCTCCTCTATCTCCCTCCTTTCTCCCCCATCTCTCTTTCTCTTTCCTCTCTCTCCCTATCCATCTCTCTGTCTCTGTTTCTGTCTCTATCTCTCTGTCTCTCTCCTCTCTCCTTCCACCCTCCCTCTCTTTCCCTCCTCCCCTTCCCTCACCCTGACTTCATCTTTTCTCTCCCTTCCTCCTCTTCCCTTTAGACTATAAGCTCCCTGAGAACAGAAATATGGCCTTATTTCTCCTCTGCACCCTTAGAGGTCTCAGTACAGGAACAGGGTATTGCTGAGGACTTACTTGACTCATTGATTGTTGGCAGTAAAGAAACAAATATAATCAAAGCCTTGGTTCTAACCCTGCTAATTTGGAATACGAGAACTGACAGTTTCCCTTTGTGCTTTCAATCAAGAAAGGTCTCAAGAAGCCAAATAAAGGGATAAATGAGGTTGCTTGGGCAATGTATAAACAGCTTAAGATACCAAATTATTCCCATGCACTTTGACATCACCCATTTATTTACATCCAATTAATTGATACAGTCTCTATGACAGCACAGAGTGGCTAAGAGGAAATTCTCAGTTATCTGATTGTTCTGTGAATCTGCATCCATCTCTAGCCCTTAAAGCAGGTCGCCTAAGGGCCGGCCAACACTAAGCAACATTTTATGGATTTAAAATCAGAGGCCATTCAGTCTTACTCTCTCATTTTACAGATAAGGAAACTGAGGCCCCAGGAAACTAAGTGACTTGCCCAAGGTCACACAGGTAGAAATTGATGGAGGCAGGATTCAAACCCAGGTCTTTTGACTCGAGAGCCAGTGAGCTTTCTGCTGATCTGCTTTGCCTCTGCTCTGGTTAGCCCTGGTTACTATCAGTGCTTCATAGGCCCCCAGATTTAGAGCTGGAAGGGGCCCAGAGATCAACTAGTCTAACCCGTTCATTGTACAGATGAGGAAACTGAGACTCAGAGAGAAATAAATGACATGCTCTAAGGGTACACAGGAGGTCAATAACAGGGTTGGGATTTGAATCTGGGTCTTGGATCCAGATTTTTTTCTTACTACAATATTCTGCTAGTGCCCAAAGTTGAGCTTGAAACTAATAAGCCTAGATTTGGCAAAAATATTTGACAATTCAGGCTTGACCTCTGCCACCATCATTCTAAATTTGCAAGTGGAGTTGGGATCCATCTGTTCTGGACAGGGCTTGTATGGGTGCTGGCCCTGAACTCCCCTAGGGTCCTGCCTCTGACTGTCCCACCCCCATGCCCACCCCCCTCCAGCTCTAAAGTCCTCCATACCTGCTATACAGATGCACCTTCTCATAGGGCAGGTGGGAGTACTCATTTGTCTCTTCACTAGGCCACACCTTGAAGGGCTGGGACCTTGACTGGATCTTGTGTATAACCTTCTGATGTGGCCAACGTGGGCTGAAATCTTCTAGCTGTGGAACCCAATCAAGTCATGGTCACCAACCTGTGGCCCGGGTGAGACCTCTCTGCCCTGTCCTTTCACTCTGGCCTTGTCCCAGAGCCCTCTGTCTACAAGACTTCTCCAGGGTGGAGTTTCCAGGAAAGGGAACCCTTTTGTAGGAGGCAAAATGGAGGTTGGGAAGGTCAAAAAGAAATCATCGAGGAATGATATGTCCTTAAGTTGGGTTGGCCTCCCCTCCTTTGAGAGGGGAGTAGTCCCATATGGGGGCTGTCTGTCTGTTGTAGCATGCAGGGTCAGGTCCCCAAGCAGGCTCAGTGAACTCTAGTCGGGTGAAGGAACGTGTTTTCCCTCATGAGGGCTTTAACATTTTTTTCCTTTTGGACCCAACCTGTGATTTCATTGGTTTAGGGAAATTCCAGTGAAGAAATTCTCTCTTCCAGTGCAGCGAGGAGCACAATCAGCAGAATTTGAACGTTGGTTTTCCTGACTCCAAGGTCAGCTCCCTAAACTATACCAGTCCATCCACCAGGCTGCCACCATCAGGGCTTGGATGAGCAGATGTCAGCGCCCTAGAATTAAGTATGTCTGCTCCCCTGTGATGTGAGATCCAGGGGGAGAAAGTCACCTTGGAAATGGGCCAGGAGGGGGATGAAGGGCAGAGATGCAGAGGTCATTAGTGCCTCATTGGCTCTTTACCATGCCCTCTGCTACCTCCCTTCCCAGCCCTTCCCTCAATCTCAGGGTGGGGAGGAGTGGAAAGGGAGGACCCGGGGAAGCGCTCTTCCTTGAAGTGCCATTTTTCATGCTAACACAGCATCTTCTGTATAGACATATCCAGGCTACACGACCCTAGGCAAGTCATTTAATACCTCATTTATGGAAATTCAGATTTTAGAGCGAGTATTCATTTTGCAAAGCAGTTCATCTCTTTTTCCTACCCCTCTAGTCAAGGGGCCCCTTATTTATTAAGCACCTGTTGTATGCCCAAGCCAGGAGAGAATCTGGGAGGAGGATGCCAGTGATCTAGGGATCTCTAAATATGACTGGAGAGATAGGAGAGACCCACATAAAGCAGACACCAGGGGCTAGAATTTTGGGGCTCAGATTCTGATCAGAAGCCAGAGGAGGGAGAGCCTAAGTGTGCATCAGTGTGTGGGGCAGGCAGAAGCAGCAGGGGGCATGGCATCCTGAAGCTTCCTACGAAGGCAAAGGTCTTGAAGGGTGTGGGAGACAGTCAGGACATTGAGAATAATGAAGACATTGGCTTGGATGGCTCAGAGGGTCTGTGTAAAAGTACAGTGGGAGACAGATTTGGAGAAGGCCTTTGGGAAGTGTGGGAGCTTGAGCAGGGGTCTTGAAGGTTTGGCTGAATTTCAATTTAATTCTGAGATAGTGGAAAGTACCCCAGTCTGGGAAGAGAGGAAATCTGGGTCTAATCTTGATTCTATCACTAATCAGCTGAGTGACCCTGGGCAAATCATTTCCCTTCCTCTGGGTCTCAGTTTCCACATGGATAAAATGACAGGGGTGGGGTGGGGTGTCTGATTACGTAGTCTCTAATCTTCCTCATAACACTAAGATCCCATGTTCTGAAGACTGCACATGGTTTCTAAGCTGGTAGCTCAGTGGGCCTTGGGCTGCCTGTGATTGCCTGGTCCTTCCTTTAGCTTTATGCAGGTTTATCCTACCCTGGTCTCAGCACCCGGAATATTGGGACTCCTTGGGTCTAAAATGCTAGCAGCCTGTGTCCAGTTGGACTTAAAGTCAGGATCTTAATTCCTCTGCTAACAACATGCAAATAGCTTTAAATTAGGTTACCATCATGAGGAGCTTGGAAACAATAGGTATTGAGTTGTCTCAGCCAACATTTAGCTGAGTAGGAGATTGAAGGGTCTTTGTTCAGTCCCATTCAGTAGTTAAGGAAAAAGGAGCAAAAAAAAAAGTAATTCCAGTACCTTTCCCCTTCTCCATTTAAAGCCCACCTACTTTGCCTAAATGTGCTATGTAAATTTGCTTTTATAGTTTTCATGGTAAATGGAGGGTGGGGGTGGGGAATAGCAGCAGATCCTATTTCTAAAGCTCTCCACGAAGACCCACAGCTCCAGAAAAGCAACCAGGATCAAAACCACCATCACCCTCATACTACAAATAGGGAAACTGAGGCTTACACAGGTGAAGATGCTACTTCCCCAAAGGCATACAAACCTAACAGCATCAGAGTCAGGACCGAAGCCCACAGCTCACTAAGTCCACCGTTCTTTCCACTCCTCCACACTGCCCCTCACATGTTTTTCCCCAGTTGTCCCAAAGCTTCCTCATCAGTAAAATGAAGGGAGCTGAACAGCTAGATCCTGGGATACACTCCCCCCCTGCCAGGAACCATCTTCTTGCCTCCCTATGTATGCCCTTCTCAATTTCTCCCATCCTTCAAGGATCAGTTCTGTTTCAAGGTCTTCCTCCTCTGAGAAGCCTTCCCGACCACTGCAGCTCCAAGAGAACTCTACCTTTGCAGTATTATTCAGGTGAAGGAGAAGGGGAGTCATTTGAACGTATACCTGAAGCTCAGATTCTTCCCCTTCACTTGGTCCTTATTGCATTTCCATAGAACCCCTGAATCTCTTGCTGGTCACACATCATGGAGCAGCCCTTCCTCCTCTCCCATCACCAAGCATGTCCTGAGCTTTAACTCATAACTATGCCGCAGTGATCACAGAGTCTGCAATGGACCTTCCAGGCCATCCAGTTCAGCCCCTTCCTTATGCCAATGGGGAAATCAAGGCCCCACCATGTTGAATGACTTGCCCTGGGTGACACAGGTAGTAATCCTCAGAAGCAGGATTTGAACCCAGGTCCTCTGACTCTAGAGTCTTTTCACTGTGCCAGGCTGTGTAGCTCATGACTCCAGAGGCACGGAGGTGGAGCCACAAGGCGGAGCAGAGGGTCGTGGTCCCCAAGTCTTGTCTAGGTCCTAGCGTCCCCAGCTTGTTCCCTGGGATGTTCCCTTCTTGCCTCTTACATCACATCTAAATACAGTTAGGCTCCAAAATCCCTCCCCTGTACAGTCTTCTTCCTACTTTCTTGTGTCTCACAGGCTCTCACTTTCTGAGTTGTTAAACTCCCTGCCCTTTCTCCATCTTGTTTTGATTTATGTGAACTAGGTCTCCCCTCCACCAACCACACCCCCAACCCCAACTCTTCAAACCTTAATTTGAACTCTCAGACTTCCCAGAATATTCACATGCAGATCTCATCAACCTCTTTCTTTGACTGTCTCAGCTCCAGATACCCTGAGAGCGCAAGATATACCTTAAATATGAGGATCCCTCTGGGCTAGGAGATGGAATCACCAACCACTTCTGCATGGGAAAGTCAAGGTGGCCAAGGAAAAGGGGGAGGAGGAATAATCATTCCCATGATAGGAGGAGCCCTTCAATGAGGTCTTAGAATCACCAAGTATCACATCTCCCCCTCTCCCTATTAGACCTCTTGGGCCGTGAGGAATTTCCCCAAGATTCTCTTAGGTTAGTACTGGTAGCCCCCATTCTCCTCTTCCTCTAAGATCTAAAGGGTTTGCCATCCTCCAGGACACCCCAGCACCCCTGCTTTCATCTCTCCAGCCTGATTCAATACCTACAGTAGATGACTCCGGCCGATAGTAGTAGGCCATTTTCTGTGGTCATTGGACCCATGACCTGGTCCACATCTGCCTTTGCTCTCCCTGTAATCTGTTGACATTGGTGCTAGACTCACACCTTCCTTCTACCCCAGAGACCACCTTCCTCAGCTCTGAAATGCTTCCTCTCGTTGCCAGGTAGCACCATCCCAACACACCTGCCCTGGAACGAGTCAGTATCCACCTTCCCCCAGTGTTTATCCCTCACTGGGATTTCCCCACAACAGCCGCTATCCCAAAGCCTATAGCCAGGAGGATTAGACTTACTGTGGGGGTGACAGAAACAGGGGGGCTTTCAGCTGGGTCAGGGTCAGCCCGAGATACTGGAGGAAGAGGGGAATCTGGTGTGAGCATGCTTTTCCTTCAGTTGTTGGAAGTCTCTCAATAGCTGATTCCCTGGAGCTGTTGCTACAACAAGGATCCCTGCCCAGTGATAGCAGAGCAGGAGGCAGGTAAAGCCCAGCTCCTCTGAGGCCTGAACTGGCACCACTCCAGGGAAGCTGGAGAGAGCCAGAGGAGCAGGATGAGGGGCAAGGGTAGCCCTGAAGAAACAGGGTCCAGGGGAAAAGTCATGTGGGCACCTCAACAGGACTTGGAGATGAGGAGGGCTGGGGGAGAACCCCGGGTCTTTTGGGCTTCTGATCAAAAAGGGACAGAGGTGGATTTTTGAGTACGAGGCTGGTGATTTTGGCACCAGTGCGTGGCAAATTATAGACCTCATTACTAAAAGGATGGCTTGTGACCACTAAGAAATGAAAGGGATCATTCATTACAGCCACCACGGAATCTGTAAGAACAGATCAGCTTCACTTTCCTTTCCATTAGTGTTCCTGGATTCCACAAAAGTCCTACTATGTTGCTGTATCATGGAGTTGAGGTAACAAGAGTTTCTTAATAGTAGTAAGCATAAGTTCTGGCTGAGAACACACATTGCAGGACCTGGGTTCTAATCCCGCTTACCACCTGTGGGACTCAGACTAAAAATCACTCTACCTCACTGGGCCTCGGTTTCCCCATCTGGAAAATAAGGGAGGTTGGACTGGATGACCTCTGAGGTCCTTTGGGGGCTCTAAACCTTTGATCCTACAAAGCTGGAGAGGCATAGAAGTTCCAGCTGTCCAAATTCCACCCTAATTAGAGAAAGGCCCACCCAATGCTGCTAGTTAATGCGATTTTTGAGCCATAGTGACCCATTAAAGAAATTCTTCAGTACTTCAATGGGGCTGTGTTTTCACTGACGTGGGCTCTCCAAACTACCAGTTCCTTCTTATCTTGAGTGATTTGTGTTGATCCTTTCCGTAAGCCTTCCATAAAAGACCCTTCCAGTGCTGAGAAAG